TTGCGTCTGCTCCCGTATGCCTACAACGAGCGATTAGCCATGTTCACGTTAACGGTGTCCGTCTCCATGCCCTAGTCGATACTGGTAGTTCTGAGAGTTATATCTCAGCATCAGTCGTCAATAAGTATAGCTGGCGAGTACTTGAATCAAGAAGCAAAATCGCTATGGCTAACACATCTTTTGTGAGTGGTACCCTTGGACATTGTCTGGTGCACCTACAGCTAAAAGACTTCGATTACAAAAATGTCAGGCTATCCGTTCTGCCGCATCTGTGTGCTGATGTGTTGCTCGGTCACGACTTCCTCAACCTGCACGAGTGATTAGAAATACCATTCGGCGGTTTCCGACCACCTGTTTCCTTTTGCAATTTGAAAGCTGCTAAGGTTCCTGAACCGACTTTGTTCCAGAATCTATCGCCAATGTGTAAACCTGTCGCGACAAAAACCAGACGTCAGTCTTTTCCTGATCAACTTTTTCTTCGCAAGGAAATAAATACCCTGTTGCGTGATGGAGTTATAGAGCCATCAACGTCACCATGGCGCGCTCAAGTCTCGGTCACAACCAAAGAGCGTCACAAGAAACGAATGGTGGTTGATTATAGTAAAACAGTTAATCGTTATACGTATCTGGACGCGTATCCACTCCCACGCATCGTTGAAATGATAGAAAAGATCGCTTGTTATGAATTATACAACACACTCCACCTACGCAGGGCCTATCATCAAATTCCTATCCGCGCCGACGAACGTAAATATACTGCTTTCGAGGCTGATGGCAATTTGTACCAACTTTGTCGGATACCCTTCGGTGTGATGAACGGCGTTGCTTGTTTCCAACGCACAATTAATGAAATCATTTCCTAAGAGAAACTGGCTGACACTTTTGCATATATAGACTGTCACTGTATGTGGTAAGTCTATGGAAGAACATGATGCTAATTTAGCCAAGTTCAAAGAAGTGGCGCTGCGTTTCGGACTCATTTTCAATGAAGCAAAGAGTATAATCCGTACAAGAACTGTGCGGTTGTTAGGTTATGAAGTATCTAAAGGTACTATCAAACCAGACCCCGATAGATTGCAACCACTCCGCAATCTTCCGCTACCCAGTAACCAAAAATCCCAGCAGCGAGCGACCGGGTTGTTTTCATACTATTCGCACTGGATATCGCATTTTTCTGATAAAATTTAACCACTCATGCACAACCAAATATTTTCTGTACCTGAATCGGTGAAAACGGTGTTTCACGTACTGAAATCGGAGCTGGCCAACACCCTGGTTGTTTCTATCGACTACACACAACCGTTGGTAGTCGAGACAGATGCGCCTGATGTGGCAATCGCAGCCACCCTAAATCAAAACGGAAGACCAGTGGCCTTTTTCTCCAGAACACTGTCTCCATCTGAGCAACGCCATTCCGCTGTTGAAAAGGAGGCGTATGCAGTAGTTGAATCTATACGAAAATGGCGACATTACCTCATTGGTAATCACTTCAAGTTGATAACGGATCAACGATCTGTTGCCTTTATGTATGATACTAACCATAAAGGTAAAGTTAAAAATGATAAGGTACTACGGTGGCGCATCGAACTTTCTCCCTTCAGTTATGATGTCGTTTATCGTCCGGGCAAAGAGAATCAAGCTGCCGACGCACTATCCCGCCAGTTTTGTAGCTCCGTGTCTAATTCTTCCGAACTGCTGACCATACATACCTCGTTATGCCACCCCGGAGTCCGAAGAATGTTTCACTTTGTCAGATCGAAAAATCTCCCATATTCGTTGAACGAAGTTAGGGCCGTTGGCGCACAGTGCAGGGTATGTGCGCAAATAAAACCTCGGTTTCATCGTCATATACAGGGAAAACTAATAAAGGCTACCCGGCCGTTTGAACGCCTGAACATCGACTTTAAAGGACCTTTACCTTCGGTTACTCGTAACAAATATCTGCTAACGATCATAGATGAGTATTCGCGATTCCCATTTGCTTTCGCTTGTCCGGATATGAAAGCATCGACACTCATCAGTTGTTTATGTCAACTGTTTTCAATATTCGGTATGCCAGCCTATATTCACTCGGACCGAGGCCCTTCATTCATGTCCGTCGAACTCAAAGAATTTCTGCATAGCAGGCATATAGCTACCAGCAGAACCACTCCCTATAACCCCCAGGGCAACGGACAAGTGGAACGGCTAAACGGAACGCTTTGGAAAGCTATCACACTCGGTCTAACATCTCGTAATCTCGACGTTGGACATTGGGAACATATGCTCATCGATGCTCTGCATGCCATTCGGTCGTTACTCTGTACGGCTACTAATTCAACGCCACATGAGAGAATGTTTGTTCACGAGCGTCGATCATCGTACGGACCATCTCTGCCTAGCTGGCTAACACCACCAGGTCCAGTCCTTGTGAAGTCTTTTGACCGCACATCAAAATATGACCCAATTGTGGAAGAAGCGACGTTACTAGAATGCAATCCGGAGTATGCCCATATTCGGGTCAAAGACGGTAGGGACCAAACAGCTCCCATCCGTTAACTCGCACCCGCAGGTGGCGATAGGGGGTCAGAAAATGTTCAGCTCGAGTCTCAAATGTTATCGGATGATAACAACAGTGAAGGAAATGCTGGAATATTACCAGAGGTTCGAAACAGACCGAAAACGAGCATATCAGAAAATGCTCGGAGTCTTCTGATGCAACAGTAACGCACTCGTCCCTACAATTTACGTAGCCGCGAAGTCTAGATCAGGTGTTACAAACTTTCTTGCGTCCACGACGAAACGTTATTTCAGTGTTCCATTCATACCCTCAAAATACTAAAAAATTACTTTAACCATTTTCGATTGTTCATCCGCACTACGTCCATTTTCTGTTACCAACAACCCATTTCTGTTAGGTTCAACTAACATTTTGCCTGCCGGAGTGAATGTAGTGAAAGTTACGCTTTACTGCTATTTCCATTAATTCACTTTCACTTGTCATTTCAGCCTATACTGTGCTTGTATGTTGAATAAAGCCTATCCTGAGGCGAGGCCTTCTCATTCTACTCAGCGGATCAATAATCGATTAAATAAGTCCTCGACTCCCACTACAGTCTTCTTCTGAACAGTTCCCACATATAATAGATTCCGCAGATGGTCTGAAATGTTTTGGTACCAGAATTAGTACATGAGACTCGCGAATGGCCGCTGCAAGCGCGAGCGAAATCAGAAGAGAAAGTTGAAACACGTGACCATGCTTGTATTAAGCGAAATTGCACAAGTGCGCGTTTTTGTAGTTTTTTGTATTCAAACAAAAAACGATTATGCAAATGCTGAAATACGTGGTGTTATAATGGAAGTAAAATAAAGGTACAAAACGCCACACACCAATTTGACGCTCTAGGGGGAGAGTTCTGTAGCACTTGTAAACTGCTCTTTTTCATGCACAGTATCATCTTCTTTCTCCCCATCATTATCAATCACATCGCTGTACGAAAATTTGTCTTACTTTAATGCAACCGCTATCGCCCGCTTGTTCGCTCTGCAATATGTCTGCGTGTATAAAAGTATCCAAACTCACTGTGTGGATGTCTTGAGAATAACAGCCGGGTGGGCTGAAAAGGAGAATGCGACGTATTGGTTCGATGTAACTGTAAGTTGGTAACTCTCGCCAACTGTCCACATAGAAGCACAAGAGCGCGGGTTCTACGGTTTATTCTCCGAACCTCTGAACACGTGGGGATTCAGGAGAGAGGAACAGGGGGTACAGGCATATATAAATATCAGACGGTGGTAGTCACTGGGGAGGGCGATCAATCTCATCTGTCCGGTATTCAGGGACGTCTTCATTTTCTACCATCGTTACCGCCGCCGCTTCTGAAAGTAGGCAAAAGAGATTGTGACTAACGATGGCGCACAGTTTGACATCCGTCGGCAAATTACAGCTCCAACGTGACTTTCAGCATATTGCTGAGTGACTGTTGTTGTGACTCCTTCGGGTTACTGTGCACTGCTCACAGTAGATGAATAAGTAATAACACAAATTTCGGGAAAAGGGGTTCAGCATGAAACGTACATTCTGAGCAGAAACATTCATCTGGCGAAAGATATACCGCAATCCCGAATTGCTTCCTCCTTAGTAGGAATGAATATCCCGTTTGAATCTAGATTGACCATAAGATAAATCTCCCATTGATTTGCTTACTCCGCCTATGTACTTTTGACCTCCAGTTGTTTTGCTTATTCGTACCCGGCACTCACCTTGCCGCGGAGGACGTCCTTTCCGACACTTGTGTATTGACGTGTGAATGTGTGTGAATGCGCACTGCTGACCTACTTACCCATGTGCGTTCACGTCCCGTTTGCTGAGCCTGCCTTGACTTGTTTTCTCATGGGCTCCGCGTGATCGCACGTCCAATGAGAATCACGAGACCGTCGTCGGAAGGAAAGAATGCAACCCACGCTACTGAGCCGTCATTCCGCTCGCCGTTGTTTGGTGTGCGGAAGTTCACAGTGACTGACCTGTGAACTTGTTGACGCTACGAACGTGAACAATTGAGGTTTGTTGTACACATTTGCCTACCCTTTGTGTAAATAGTGCCGTAGAATTACGAACCCAATTCTTCGTTGTGATATTCAGGATTGTCGAACCTATGCGTCACTCAAAGTTCCGTATCGGGCACCTTAACAGTACTCAATTTGTGGTCCTACACTTCTTCTGACAATAAACGTACAGGGATGTATGGCTGAATCTCAGTCTCTGATATGTATCGGAATCGAGTACGATCAACGGATATGCGCGACCTGAGACCGAGCGCACAACTCCGCAGCTGTGACGCGAGCCGAACCACTCATAGCGTAGACAGAGGAGAAGATCAGACCTTCAGAAGAGGGTTTCTACTGCCTCAACAAAAGGCGAATTGCAGTGGGAGCAACGCCGTATATATATTTCGAGCGACCTTGGGAAGCGAAAAGTCATTTAATGCACACAAAGTATAGCTGGCCAATAGGAAAAGAGCGCGGTTTTTACGGATTGAGGTGCAACATGGCGGAAAATGTGCGAAATTTAAAAGTTCAAAAATTTTTGGAAATAAAATGGCAATAACTCGGAAAATAAGCAGTTTTTTGGGATACTGACACCCCAACAGTCTCCAAACACAGACAGTGCTGCTTCACTGCTTTTGGTTGCACATAATCGGCTGCTGTCAACTTCCTCTATTTTATTGGTAAAGCATACATGCACAAATGATGAATGCGGCTGAAACTCTGCCACCGGAACCTGTGATTCTCTTGTCATGTGGATCATTTAACCCCATTACCGTCATGCATTTGCGGATGATGGGTGAGTTTCCTATTTGTGTTTGCTTTTGATAACGTAAGTGTTTGCTTTGCTAGACGAGCTGAACTTGTGATATTGAGTCGAGGCTTTTGGTGTTCGCTAGCGACAGGCTACCACCGCGTGGCCCTGACACCACCAGTCCCTTGGTTTACTCATTAGGTAGACAGAGCGTTTTACTTATGAAAATGCACTTACTTGCACACTTGTTTGGTCCTAATGGGCGACTCAACTGAATCCCAACTGAACCTTTCGTTGATGAAGATTCGAAGACTTTTCAGCAAATTAGTGAGTGCTTCAATCCAAGCGAGCGCTGTACTTTATAAGGTGCTCCTGGAGAAACATATAGTTTCTTCCTTTAAACATCCTCCATTTCCACATTAAAGAGCTTAGGTGTGAATTTAGAAGAATTTACGTTTTCCGATTTAAATCCCGTTCTTACATCGCTTTGAATCTATCAGTCTCTCAGCCAGGTTTCCAACTGACAATCTTAGTTCCTCTGGGCTGAGATGGTTCCAACGCCATTTGATCCTTTTGCAGCCAAGATTATCATGCGCGTTAAGTGTAGTTCAGGTGTGGTTTTGCTTAGTTACCATTGCGAGATGGCTCAAGTGGTTAGAGCGCGAGTTTATTGACCAGAAGGTCCGTGGTTCGAACCCAACCCCTACCTCTCCCCTGTCTATGCTTGGGCAACCTGGCAGTATCCCAGACCTCGTGCTTCCTTCGGGTGGCATGGCAGCTAGGCACCGGAAGGGTGTTACAGCTGAACAATCTATTTCTATTGCTTTTCTCACCGGGCGATTTCCCGATGTAGCCCGTGGTGATTATTGGGTCTGTCACTGATGGGTCTGAGGTAATTCATGGAGCATCTAACAGTTTCCCATACAACAACACTCAACTCGAATTCCTCGTTACATCTAAGGAGCATGAAAACATTTCTGCATATCCAATGGAGAGTACGCTAACATGTTCTGCATTGGTTGTATGGCAGTTTTCGACGGTCCTCTGTTTGGGGGTGTCCAGACTTTGTTGGAGAATGACGGGGTTATTGGGTAAAGATTTAGGACTACTATTTTTTGACAGAGACAGGACTCAGGACAATAAAAGTTAAAACAGGTCATTTGTGAAGAACGAGATTTATCGTGGACATTTATGCGGTACAGCGCACCCACCAGATGACTGCTCCAGCCGGTTGGCTATAATCCCAGATACACCGTCGTTTACAAGAGTAAACTGTATTGGACTTGGCCGAATTAGTTTGAGAAGCTAAGTTAAATGACGCCCACTCTGGTACCAATATCCAGTGTTTTCGTCAGTTCTCGTGGGTTAAAGTAAGATTTGGCGGACAGCAGAGGTTCATCGGATCGACTGAAATCAGGCTGTTGTTTGCAGCGGAAGTCTGCAAACCTAGATGCTCGAAATCCAGCAGCATTTCCTTACATTTTTCAAGCTCCTAATTATCCGGTGCGCATCTCAGTCGCTAGTTACTGATATGGCTTTTCTGATAGCAATAAGGTCATCATCATCATCATTGTCAGCTGTAAGAACCTCGTACCCGTCGTACACTGGTTGTAGCTGTGGCAGTTTCGTTCACCGATGGTTTGGGGGGGGGGGGCTGCACGTTGCAGGCGGGAGCTGATAAACTGGTGCATAAATCCAGCACTGTCAGTGGGCTGTCAAATGGAGGGGGAGGGTTGGAAAAGGAGCTATGCATTGAAGGCAATAGCTTGGATGCACGAGCGCCGTTGAGGGCGCGACTGGGCCATATCTGACAATGTCTCTAGCCATTGATGTGGCCCGTCTCGGGGTCACCATCCAGGAAGACGGCAATGACCAGCGCAGATAAGTTTGCTGGTAATGGCTTTCATACTTCGCTGCCAAACCATCGGTT